GTTAAGAATATCGAAAATTCTGTGATCAGCGGTCATGTCGTGGGTGTCATCGATCGGACGGATGAGAGTCGAGCCCTTTATCTTCCTATTTATGTTCGCGTATGCATTGGAAGGCCTAACGATCTCACAGTTAGCTCAGGACAAGATCTGCGCCCAGCGGTACGCCATGGGTGGCCAGTACTGCGCCGGACTTAGCCAACAGCCGGCCAGCGAAGTCAAGAATCGGATTCTGGCAGAAGTGACCACATTCTCGCTCTACAAGACACTCATCAACACTATTCCAGTCATATTCTGGTCACTGTTTTTGGGCGCCTGGGCTGACAAACACTTGAGTGCCCCGCGTTTCCTCATGTCCGCCGCCGCCATCGCCTCCTGTCTGGAGAGTTGTGTCCTTTACGTCAACGCCTATTACTTTCAAACAGGTTTTACTTTCACTTATCTTTTAGATAATCCGAGTATTGATTAGTTTATAATTAATATTATTGTATAATTGCTTTATAGACGAGAATCTGCTGTTGCTATCATTCATACCATTTTCATTATGTGGCGGATTGTTAAGTGTAATGATGTCTATCTACAGCTATATCGCCGGCACGACTGACCCCCAAACCCGTACCATTAGGTTCGCCATCATTGAAGCCCTCATATTTGTTTGTAAGTGTTTTGCAAACTATTGTTAATTACATTTACAAATAGTTGTATGAATACGTATAGCGGCGCCGATGGGTATATTTATCGGTGGAGTATTGATCGGCGATACAATCGACGGCCCGAACGGACAGTTACACGATTACGGCTCAGTCTTTGTCGTCGGATTTATTGCTCAATTATTGGCCACTCTTTGGATTGTTTTGATTCCATTGGAAAAACGTATTGTCAGTCGAAACACATCCCAAACGGACGACAGGAAGACATACGACCAGACCATTGAAGCCATTTCTATCGATCACTCAAATACTAATGTCATCATTGATGGCAACGAAGGCAACAATAATGACAACGCAGATGACGAGAGGGAACCGCTGCTGAAACGGTGTATCAGTCCTTGCGATCACATCCGAGCTGTCGAGCAGGTGTTGAATTTAAGCACCGGTTGTATGTGTGTTACCACCGATGGTCACCAAAGCAGCGGTCAAAGAGTCCAATGCGATAGCCTAACAGAATCGGCGCCGCGATTGTTGGTCACACAAAATACTGGTCAAAGATATGTGACGGCCATCACTGGCCAAACACCTGAAAGCTGGCACTCAATGTTTGGAGACCTGTTTGAAGTGCAGAACGTGCGGGAGATGTGGCGGACGTGCACTAAACGGCGCCCAAATGGCCAACGGCTCCAGATATGGGTACTGATTGTGTCGATGACTCTCATATCAATGACAAACAACGGAGCCCTTCAAGTGATCTTTCAATTTGTTCAGCGAGTATTCCTCTGGAACTCTCAGGTCTTTTCCAACGTAAACGCTTCCACACTATTGATCACATCAGTGGCGGTGGCGGTAGTGGTGCCGGCGCTCATCAAAGTGTGCCACTTCTCGGACATGTCTCTGTCGATTGTGGGCACTATCAGTATGTTTGGCCAGAATGCGATCCGTGGATCTCTGCTTAATGAGACAGCCTTTTACCTGTCGTACGTGTTCGGGAGTCTGTCGTACGTTCCCATGATATCTGTGCGCTCACAACTGTCCCGATGTGTTGACCGCAGCGAAGAGAATAAAGCCTTCAGTCTGTTGTCAACTCTGGAGACGTGCACACCGTTTGTGGCGTCCATACTATACAGCGCTATATTCAACGCTACCATAGGTTGGGCGCCGGGACTGGCCTTTCAGTTCAGCGCCGGTGTATTGTTAATACCATTAATCGGTTTCGTTTATATCGCTGTCCGATATGTTTGACAATTAATTAATATTTAATTATTTTTGTAAATTAATTATAAATTATTTTAGTTATTATAAGCATAATACATTTTTTAAATAATCTTTGACTTATTATTTTATGTAAATACGTGTACAATAGGAACCATGTTTAAATGAAACATTTGAATTAATGGATCAAATAAATAAATCGTTATATAATTATAATACTGTATTTTAGAAGTTTATTAAGGGATATCTGCCTAAGAGCTGTTTAGCAGCTCAAAAATAAAAATCCAGTCTGATTAATTCACATATGACTGGATAAGTAATATGAGCAAGGTGTCTATGTTAGTATCAAATTATTGCTCATAATGGTTCTGAAGTGGGTGCGAACTGTGTCTGTGTTCAGATTTACTTCAATTATTTCACAAATTAACGTATTATGTTATGTGATATGAAACTATGTTAAATAAGAAGTCGATTGATCTTTCATATATGGCTGGCCGACTTCGGGTTCGGTTGCAGTGACCACTTTTGTCGGAAAATTTAACTTATCCAATATTAACATGTGATATANGCCAATAATTGAGCAATAAATCCGACGACAAAGACTGAGCCGTAATCGTGTAACTGTCCGTTCGGGCCGTCGATTGTATCGCCGATCAATACTCCACCGATAAATATACCCATCGGCGCCGCTATACGTATTCATACAACTATTTGTAAATGTAATTAACAATAGTTTGCAAAACACTTACAAACAAATATGAGGGCTTCAATGATGGCGAACCTAATGGTACGGGTTTGGGGGTCAGTCGTGCCGGCGATATAGCTGTAGATAGACATCATTACACTTAACAATCCGCCACATAATGAAAATGGTATGAATGATAGCAACAGCAGATTCTCGTCTATAAAGCAATTATACAATAATATTAATTATAAACTAATCAATACTCGGATTATCTAAAAGATAAGTGAAAGTAAAACCTGTTTGAAAGTAATAGGCGTTGACGTAAAGGACACAACTCTCCAGACAGGAGGCGATGGCGGCGGCGGACATGAGGAAACGCGGGGCACTCAAGTGTTTGTCAGCCCAGGCGCCCAAAAACAGTGACCAGAATATGACTGGAATAGTGTTGATGAGTGTCTTGTAGAGCGAGAATGTGGTCACTTCTGCCAGAATCCGATTCTTGACTTCGCTGGCCGGCTGTTGGCTAAGTCCGGCGCAGTACTGGCCACCCATGGCGTACCGCTGGGCGCAGATCTTGTCCTGAGCTAACTGTGAGATCGTTAGGCCTTCCAATGCATACGCGAACATAAATAGGAAGATAAAGGGCTCGACTCTCATCCGTCCGATCGATGACACCCACGACATGACCGCTGATCACAGAATTTTCGATATTCTTAACCAATTCCTATCAATAATACTGTGTTTTAAACACTTGTCAACACTTTATTACAAACAATTACTCACAATAATTGCTAAAAAAATTGTTTTTCTAACTAGTGTTGAATCACCACTATTTACACCATTCATATCATATGTTGTCATATCTTAGCGTTTGAAAACTTGAAGGTTTTTTGGTGTACATTACTTCAGATGGTATTTAGTTGTGTTATCACAATACTTATACACTACTGTATATAAATTGAAAGTTTTAGTAAATGTACTCAATTAACCGTAATATAAGTTTGCATAAAGTTTATGCACCAAATATACAAATATAATTCACAATTTAATTTTATTAAACCATTTACAATAGTTTTAGTTTTATATAAATAAATAG